GAAAGAAGGTAAGTTTATTTTACATTTTACTAGATAAACTTTGAAAATTTTAAACATTTAATGAAGCATGTAGATGGAGCTTTTTTGCCAGGCTCTTGCAGCTCTTTCGGGTATGTCCTGATTAAGAGGGTACATCCACTGCAAGTAGCTAAATTGGGTGCACATTTCCTGGGTACGTCCTCCGCACCCAGCCGTCTGTGCTTCTTATTTTATTTGTTTACCATACTTTTGTTCTTTTGTCAAAAAGTTTGATATTGCAGCAGTATGTGAACTATGGGATAATGTTGCCGCAATCTCCAACATGGATAAAGCAGTAAATGTGATCAAAGCACATATAAAACTAGACAATGTCATGAATCAGCATGTGCAACAACTGATCTTGCCAGAAACTATGATAGGAAAAAGGTGAGATAAAATATATTTGGACAATTATCATGATGAAACATTAAAGAAGGTGGGATAATAATACAACTGTAAATTATTCTCAGGTTAAAACTTATACCTATTTGGGTTCTTGCAGGCTAAAATTACAAATAAAATTGATGTTCCAATTCTCAATGTCGAGTCCTTAGAAGGAACCTCCACTACTTTTAAGGTTGTTGCAGAAAATGAAACGGAGGCAAATAAAAAAGTATGACCTTAAATTGTTATGGCCTACTGTTGTTAAATTACTGATTTTTGTTCTCAAACCTTCATAGGAAATAATCCCACACTGCAATCCTAGTTTCATAGGTTTCTGTTCTGAGGTGGGGATGTTGTTTATTGACAAAACCATATATATTAAGAAGCTAGAAGAGGAAGGTTTGAGGTTCAGAATTCTTTTCCTTAGACCACATAGATTTGGAAAATTGGCATTCCTTGATATGCTCTGCCAATATTATGACATTAAAAATGCAGACAAATTTTCTTGGCTTTTTGGACCACTTTATATTGGACAACATCCTACGAATTCACAAAACAAATGTTTAGTTCTTAAATTTGATCTCTCATCCATTAATGTTCATTCTTATAAAATGATGGAGGAAATTTTCAATAGGAATGTTAATCATGTATTGTGAGATTTTGTTGAGAAATATGATGAAGAGCTGGAATATCCAGACATTGACAAATTAATTGTCAAGCAAGCCTTTATATCTCTTCAAAATGTCATGGTAAGTTGTATTATTTATATTTCCATATTTTCTATATTTATCTTGTATGCATGCTATTTAACATATATTAACGATCATAAAGCCTACTGTAAGCAAACAGTCTCAAAAACTCTTTATTGGAGTTGATGAATATGACACTCCAGGTAACAACTGTGCATTCAAACATGAATTTCATATTCTGAATGATGCAGAGTGTAATGATGTTGACATAGTTGAGCAATTTTTTAATACAAATTTTTTTGCAGTAATCAAAAGAGGATGCTGTGGCCCTATTGATAAATTATATGTCACAGGAGTTGCCCCTGCATTCCATGCAGGGCTTAGTCCGCTTCTTATATTGGATGATATCTCAGAAAGACCACAATTCTATGGAATTTGCAGTTTTACAGAAGAAGTACAGTCAATTGCTAAATGTTATTTTGATAATAATATGCAGATAGTAAATGATGCAATGGATCAAATGAGACAGCTGTATTTTGGATATAACTTTGTTAACACAGGATCCAATACTCAAACCCCCCTTCTATATAATATTCATCTAATTTTTCATTATTTGAGAGAAAGATGAAGTTGCGGCCTTGTTTTTAAACCTTCTGAGTTAGCTGCTGTAAATTCAACAAAGACACTCATATGCATCGCTGACCAGAGCCCAGTCTCTATTGACGATCTCTTCAAACTCCTCACAAATGGGATGGTTTTTACCAAACTTCGAAATAATTTTAATTATTCTGATTTCCTCAGGACTGGAGAACAAGATATAGAATATCATCAATGGCTCACATGGTCTTTTTTGTATTATTTTGGGATATTGATGCGTGACTATGCTGGAAGATTGATAATCCAAATCAAGTAACAAGGACTGAAGTATGTGTTTTCATTTTATTTTCTTAATATATTTTGAATAAGGGAATCCTAAATAATATTAATTTCATTTAGGTTATAACCTGAATTGTGGACTATATAAGTTCCAACAGAAATCTTTTTCAACACAGACTTCCTGCATACAATCAACTTATATGTGGCTCTGTAAATCCACTGGTGGAACTCACAAAAAACTTCTTCAAAAATAGACCTATGATGTCATTAAGAACTGCCAACGAAGCCGTGATGCAAGTGACTTTTGAAATTCTCCTTCCAATGTCATTTCATGTCGCTGAGCTTTGTCTTATAGTTGATGGAATGAAGAAAAGTGGTGACAGATGCTTTGGTTTTGTGGACCATTTTGTTTTTGAAAGTGGGGATGGCCCATTGATATCAAATGTTGTATTAGAACTCAAATATATTACAATTACTGGCCTGTTAAGTGGAGCACAGGGATTCTGGATAAAGAACCCAGACACAAAAATTATGAACCTGTTGGATAAAGATCTTGAGAATGAGAATGAAGAACAGTTGTTGCAACGTAAATATATGTATTGGTCAAAGGAGGAAAAAAAATTTGTGATGCAGCAGTTGCATGACATTTTGAATGACGGGTATCAACAGTTGGACAGATATATCAAGACAATTACAAAAGGGATGGTGAAAAGTTTTACTGATTCAGGTATTCTAGATTCAAGAATCATAGTTGGAAAAGGATCCTCTAAATTAAGAGGTTACCTTATTATGTCTATAGGCACCTGTCATATGCTAGTACGATCATATGAGCCAGTAATAACAGAATTCAAATATTATACACTCACTGGTCATAAATATAAGGACACTTGCAGATCATCAGAAATAATTGAACAAAGAAACATGAAAAAAAATAAAAATTTTATTAACCTAACCGCATTTGCTTATTAAGTAAAAATTCATTGCCATATCAAATAGTATAGCATACTGAAGTTTCGCTGCATATAAACAACAACTCATTGTTTTACAAACTTTAAAAAATAAAAATGAATTTTTTGGAATTTTCAAAAAAATCTTTAACTCGAAAATTGACCACAATGTCAAGTTCTAACGACCTTTGCGGTATAAGTGAAA